TGAGTAATTATATGAACGTTGATATGTGGAAAAGGTGTTATTTCAAATAATCACAATTTATTTCATATTTAAAAACCTCAAAATTAATCAATTATTTTGGATATTCATATAGTACACAAAAAGAGATCAATCAACTTTTAACAATTCTCGAAACTAATTCTCAATTTATGATTCATGAATATATGGATGAGGATATTGATGATAAAGAACCAGTGATTGAGCCTGATCAAATATTTGGTATACGTGGTTCAATTGTTTCTTTCATCGATCGTCTAGATGATGAATTCACAAAATCATTACAAAATATCGATCCGCATACTACTGATTATGTGGATAGATTGAAAGATGAAACAGACCTGTATGACACTATTGTAAGAGGTCAAATGTATTTTGAAAAGAATGAATTAAATGAGGGTACAAGCCGAGTCGTTATGAGAAGGTTAGAACATCTATATTACAAGGTAATATAAAATTTCAACATTTTTTTTATTTATTACTTTTTCTGAATTTTTGATTAATGAGTTTATATGTTATTTTCTAAAGCCTGATCAAGTAATACAAACAGTAGAAAATACCGTTCAACAGTTATATCCAGCAGGTCTTAATTCAAAAATAACTTCGCATACATCCGGCTGCGATCCTTCAGATTTAATTCACTCGCTTTGTGTTTACCTCTACAAGAATGGCGAATCTTTGCTACGTACACGTGCTATGCTTTGCCATATTTATCATCATGCGTTACACAATCGCTTTTATGTTGCGCGGGATATGCTTTTGATGTCACATTTGCAAGATAATATTCATCAAAGCGATGTAGGAACCCAAATTTTGCATAACCGCACCATGGTGCAAGTTGGCCTTTGTGCTTTTCGAGAAGGAATGATTAAGGAAGCTCAAAGTTGTTTACAAGAAATTTGTGGGACTGGTCGTGCGAAAGAATTATTGGCACAGGTAAAGATTAAGTTATTTGAATGATACTTTTATATAATAAACCTTTATAATAACTTTTTTTTTTTCAAAATACCTTTATATAGGGTCTACAATTGCAAAGATATGCACAACTTCCATTAGAGCAAGAAAAAATGGATCGTCAACGTCAATTACCATTCCATATGCATATTAATTTGGAATTATTAGAATGTGCTTACTTGACATGCTCCATGCTTTTAGAAATACCCAGCATGGCAGCTGCAGGATCAAATCCTGAAGCACGTAAAAAAGTTATTAGTAAACCTTTTAGAAGAATGTTAGATTATAATGAAAGACAAGTTTTTAGCGGTAAGCTTTTTATTTACAAATTCATTATTATTATTATTAATTTTATAATATCGATAATATCGATAATATCGATGCTTATACTATATTTATTTTAACAAGGTCCCCCTGAAAATACGCGGGATCACATTATGGGCGCAGCAAAGGCACTTGCCGCAGGTGAATGGAAAAGATGTCAAGAACTTATAAGTGCCATTAAAATTTGGGACTTGATGCCAGAAACCCAAAAGATAAAAGAAATGCTGAATAGGAAAATTCAAGAAGAAGGCCTTCGCACATATCTGTTCACATATTCAGCATATTATGAAACGATAGGACTTGAACAATTAGCTACAATGTTTTCTTTGCCTATAAATGCAGTCACCGCTATAATTTCAAAAATGATTTGGAATGAAGAATTGGTCGCATCACTAGACCAGGTCGATAATGTTGTTGTATTACACCGAGTTGAACCAACAAAGGTTCAACAGTTGGCTTTAATGTTTGCCGAAAAGGCAGCATCTTTTGTAGAAGCAAATGAAAGAACATTGGAATTGAAACAAGCAGCGGGACAAAATCAAAGAGATCAACAAAGGCAAAAAGGCTAGTAGAAAAATACATAATAATCATTTATTCATATGGTTTATTCTTATGATTAGATCTTTTATGACATTTTTTAATTTTTTAATTTTTTTTAATTTTCTTGGAATTAACAGGACAGCTCAATCAGCAACAAAATATCGAAAAGCGAACGACCTATCAAAAGAGAGATGGACAACAACAACGGTCTCGAAATAATTTTAATAATGTTTTAGGTAATAGTGTACGAGGAAGGACACAGCAAAATCGATATAGGTCATAAATTAAGTATATAAAAGTGATGGAAAACACTATTGTAAATGAAAAAATGAGTGTATAAATAACATAAAATAACATTGTATATCAACTGGTATCAATTGGAAACATAATTTTTTTATCCTACGATTAATAAAAAAAACAAAAGGGCAATTTTAATTTTGGAAAAACATGGCGAATTTTGCGATAAATAAATATATAAATATAATAAAATAAATAATAACAGTTTTCACAGTATTTGCAGTATTCGGGGTATTGCATAATTGTAAATTAGTCTTTGTTATATATTAAATACAAGCAATACAGAATGAATGCGTTAAACTAATTAATATTAATAAAATTTAACAATTAAATAAACATGATAATTGTTTTCATGTTTGATCGACTTTCTCAATAACCGGGTAACAAAAAAACGATGACCATGTTAAGCGTTAAGCATTGGCACAAAAATGGTATAAAAGTTATTAAGTAAGCGAGATAATTATGTATTTTAATGAAATATTTACGAATCGATTATAATAAAACATTGTTGACAGAAAAACATTTACCGATCGGATCCTTTGGTAACCTGTAATAGAAATAATGAAACCATTAGGATTGGTTTATTTTGGTCTATATGTAACATATTTCACGGGTGGACAAATTTAAAAAATTAAATTCTCGTATATATATAGCTTAAATTTGAACTAATCCTAACGTTAAGAGCTTGCCTACCGTAATGGGTATTAAAAAAAATATTTTATCTGTTACGCATTGCGCAAGTACATACCTGATACCAGTTACGTACGTACGTACGTACATATCTAATATATTTGATATATCGTACCTGGTACGTATTTGCAGAATGAACCACGTGACTAATGTTAATACCTATTATATATTATATATATATATATATATATACTGTATATATATATATACTTTAGTTACTATCTGTTATAGACCAAATATCAATTAACACCTTTAGTACTTTGTTTAGTAACTTTGAAAGGACCTAAAAATAAATAAGTAGGTAACTAAATACATATGCATCGAATTACGTACCTAGCCTTCGCAGTTGAATGAGAATATTAGAACTTTAACGCTAATCCTAATTAATGAAAGATAGAATTCGCATTTTTCTTCCAAGGCATATTTCTTATTTACTTTACCTAAAAAAATAAAGCTAAAGATTGGCTTGATTACCAATGCATACAAAGAACACAACGAAAGATTCACATGTGTAATTATCAAAAAAATTAAGCATAACTATAAAAAAAAAAAATTAAAAATAAGTAATAAATAATGAAATTCCGCGATATTTTTTGTACAGTATGAAATACTTATTTATAATAAATAATGTATATATAAAATTATATATTTAATTATTTGAAGTTCTATATATTGACCCATGCCTATCGCCATGAAAAAACGTAGAGACAGATTATGTTATTTTATAGGATAAAAAAAAGCTATATCACTGTGATCAGCATAAACAATTACTGTATATCGATACAGATACATTAACAATATAAAAAAAAAATTTTTTTTTATTTTTGCATACATGCAATAATTACTTTAAAAAAAGTTATAATATAAAAAAATTTTTAAAATAAATATAATAAACGGTCTCTATCATGTCCATCTGTTTGATATAAAAATGACCAAATTCGTTTACTTTTTCTCTTTCCGTAGCTAGAAATAACACTATCATTCAAAAAAAAGAAAGTCAATAGACTAACAGTTTATGGGACCCCTTAAAGCCTTTGATATTACTTTGATATATACATATTTTATTATTATATAAAAATTAAATATATATAAACAACCATTAATTTCGATTCTTTTCGGTTCTTCGTCTCGAGACAACCACAAATATACTGTATATTTTTTTCTTTTCTCTCTTGTGCCATAATTTATTTGTTTAGCCTCTTTTATGCTGCCACCTTTCCCCTACCACGGCTTATTACCTTTAATTTCTTAAATAATTTCCCTTTATATGTATCTTAAAAAAAATTATCGCAAAATGAATAGCGATAAAAAATCATCGAGTCTTCCGTATTCAACTGCACAACGGATGCCTTCCTCAAGGACTTCGACTGCTGCTAATACGATCTCTTCATCAAAAAGTTCAGAAACAGTACCAAAGTCCTCGTCTACCCTTCGGGTTATTAATCAAGATGAACTTCATGAACTTCGTAGTCTATTCGAACAACGAAAGGGATCTCAATACTTCATTCCTGATGGATATGAACCAATTTTAATTCCACGCGATTCGCAACTACAAGTGGCAACCCTTTTACAAAATAATAAAGGCTTACAACAACAACGTTCTCTACAAAAACAACATTTAAAAATTCAACAAGCCAACCAAAATTCGGCAGCGCCGGGTGTCGTCGTTGTTAATAAAACTTTAACTCAACTAGTTTCACCTATAAATTGTAATATGAGTTCTATTTCACCCGACGTTAGGTTTCCTCATTTAGTGTTGGCTCGTGCTACAGCACCGACTCCGCGGGGCGGAGCGGTTACTAAAGCAACTAAGCCTAAGAAACCTCCAAGACCTCCAAACGCATTTATCCTTTATAGGCGTTCTAAACAACAAGCTATAGTTGCAGCAAATGAAGGAATTTCAAATAATGAAGTGTCAAAGCAAGTTGGGGAAATGTGGCACAAAGAACCCATTGAAGAGAAAATGAAGTTTCAACGACAAGCCGACGCGGCAAAATTGGAACATATGCGAAAATATCCTGAATACAAATATCGTCCTAGAAGACCTCATGAAAAACGTCGTCGAACAAAGAGGTCAAGCGTTAATAACAATAATAATAATAATACTGCTGATAATAATAATGGAACGACGACCAACGTAGCTACAAGTAACATAAATAAAAACGAAAATGATAATTTAAACGTATCTAATCCTTTAACGACAAATGATGATTCAAATAATAATTTATTATTTCAACATCAATTAAATCAATCGATCGATCAAAATACTCCAACAGATACCATAAATACTCTTGATACTGGATTTGAATATTATGAAGATGAATCTCGTCGAAATTCAATACTATCAGCTCAAGATATAAACGAAATTGATTATGAAGAATTTAATTATGATCAAATGTCAGTTTATGATAATGTATCTACTATGGTAGAAGAACCTAATCAAACTCAATACACGATAAATTCATGTTCTCCATCAACATCACCAAACGAATACGTACGTGTCGATACCACAACCTCTTTTGACTTTATGATGGAAGAAGGTGTTTCACCTGATTCTGAATCTGATTCAACTTCGTTCGGATTCTTTGATTACGGGTATCAATCGCATCCCAACGAATCTTTTGATTATTTGCAGTTCAACCCATACGATTTTATGATCCAATCAAATATTGATTCTTAATAACTCATATACAATTCACATTATTTAGACATTTGTCATTTCCTTTTAATACATGCTTTTTTTTTTATATATATATTGTAATGTCTAGATAAGTGTCAGGGGAGTTCTAATCGGGACGGCAAAATAATAAAATTAGGGACGCGATTTCTTTTTAATACGACAATCCTTGCAATTTTTTATTACGGACATTTCCCCCCTCAAAAAAAAAAAACAAAAAAAAAAAAACAAAAAAAGAAAAAACTCTATCAATCCTTTCAAAAGTATAAAAATCCTTTTCTTTCTTTAGGGGAATTGGTTTTATTATTATCATTTATTATTATTTTTTTCTTCTTCTTTATTTTATTATTACTTTATTTTTTATTTTTTTTTACCAAATTTTTTCTTGGGTTGGTAATTAATTTTTTGTTCAAATCTAAAACTATAAAACAAAAGGCACTAGGAAAGTCCGTATTTGCAATAGGGTTTACTTTATATATATAATTATACCTTTATTACACCTTTATTTCTTTTCTATCTTTTCATAAAAGAATAGGAAATTTATGTACATAACAACCTATCTGTAAAAAAAATAACATCAAAGTACTTTAAACTTATCAATCGTAAGCATCTCTTCGAAGGGACTTTGAACATTCTTTATGTTCCATTTCTGGTCAAACCAATTTTTTTCTCTGAATCGCTTTTTTTTTTTGATTATCCTTTTTTTTTTTTAATTATATTACGATCTTTTATGATAATTGCCGGCATAAAATTTTTTATATAAGTATATATCGTAATTACAATATTATAAATAAAGGACACGATCTTTTTTTTTTTCTCCGAATATACAGTACAATGAATAATAATAACGATAATAATAATAATAATAATAATAATAATAAAATAGATATATATACAGTATATATATATTATACGTACAGAGTTGTTCATGCATTACTGGTTCATTGTAGGTAACAAATAATAAAGTTTTTCACAAAAGATGATTAAAAAAAATTTTCTTGTGGATGCAACAAGTTTGGCAATTGATTTAGGTGCATATCAATTTTAGAATACAGTTAAACTGTTATCGTTATACTATCGAAAGGTTAATTTCTTTGACATCTTGGATAAGTAAATGCTAAGCATCATTTTTTGTTGACTCATGTAATATAAACATTTTCAGTTCACTAAACCTTTTTTTTATATTTGTTTTATCTATTTGATCAAGATTACTTTTGGTTAGTATATGCGTTTGTTTTTTTCGACAACTTACGGTTAGTTAAATTGAGACAGTTACTATAGCATTATGAAGAACTTTATTTTATTTAATATAAATGCATCACCAATAGTTCATATCGTGATAATTGGCATTATACTATACTACCACTACTAGCATATATATATATGCTATGTTATCATGAGAAGTCCCGTGATATTGAATATTTATTTAGTCACATAGCTTAATTTATATATATACAGTATTATGTATATAAAAACTAGGTTTAAAACGATATTCTTTATAAGTTATATGGTGTTAATCTTTTTAAATATTATATATTTAAAATAATTTTATTAATTATACTTTAATAATTTGATTCAATAATTATAGTATCTAACAAACTAAAATACACAGTTAATTATCATAAATCAGAGACGAGAATAAGTTTTCCAATCACATTGATAAAAACATTATAAATTCATAAAATCAAACCTCTTAAATTCATTCCCTCAAGATCATAGCATTTATAGAGTAAAATATATAGATAGAGCTCTTATTACAATTACAAGACAGAAACAAGTTATGCGCTGATTTAAAGAGGATTTATATAGAGTACGAAATTTTACAATGCATGCATTAATAAAGTTTTGTTTATAATCCTGATTTTGCAAGGGACTTACCCGTGTTATAATTGTTTTTTTTTCCTTTTTTCCGTACGTACCTATTTCTAGAATTATATCACATGTGATCTAATGGGGTCTAGTTAACTTTTAACATATATTAATATACGTATATACTATATAACATTAATAGCGATATAGACATAAATAAAAAATTTAAGGAGTGTTTAGTGCTCAGGACAGAGACAAAAATGTCACACAATTTACAAACATTAAAATGTTTAAAAATGATCTAGGATTCATATTGATATATAAGTATATATACAGTTTAAATTTAAAGTTTTGGAGTGATTACGTAATTTTTTTATATCTCACTATATAGTGAAAATGTGATTTACTTATTAGTACATAGATATGTACATATGTGCTATGTTGTTGCATGAATCAAAGATTTGTGATAAACGTGGTGCCAATGAGCCTTTAACGTTAATTCATACGTACATAATAAATATATTTGGGATTTGGGATTAACCTTATTTGCTATCCTACTTTTAGGCATTAAATTATTTTCCGGTTCACATTTGTCCGGCTTATAACGTACTGTACGTACGTACGTAACGTAACAGTAATCCAAATCCAAATCTATCTTCCTACATGCCTTCCTCGTTTTCCGAGCTACCTCAATGGTTAAAAGAGATTTAGTGTTACGTGACGTTGACTGACCGATAAAAAGTTTATCCGTATATATGTATTGATCATGCGTATATACTATGTATATATATACTATGTGATTAATATATATCAGATATATAAATTTAAAATATATAATTAGAATAATTTAGAATATAATACAGTAATATTAAGAATGAATTTCAGAATAATAATTTTAGAATAATTTTAGTAACGCAAAACAACTAAAGATACAATTTAGGTGTTATGAAACGCATATAACTGATAATACAGGAATATATATCTTGGAACATTCCTTAATTCTCACAAGAGCATTAAATATTTCCAAGATAATGTTTATTATATGTAACGATAAAGCTGTCCTACCGTAAGTTTCAACTATTTAGTTAAATACCTGGAATAAGTGAGTTTAAGATATCAGAATTGATCTATTTTAGTACAGTAATAAAAGAGCGGATAAACCTAAAAGTATTACAGATATTAAATTTCATTTGATGAACCTGTTGGTTTATATAATTTATATAATCTTTTTTCGTGTTACAGATTATTCTCATTTTAAAAAAACTTTGAACAATGCAAAAATATAAACCGATTAGATGAGAGTTCAAAAAATAAAAATTCTAAAAAATTTTCGTTACCTAATTTGATTAAATTTGATTAGCAAATTTTTGTGTTACTTTCATGTTTCTTTAAAAATGATCTTTTTAAGAACCACATGATTCACGTGTGAAGATATCTAAACAACGCATATATTCTAATTTATATAAAATCTTAGGTGATCATCACAAGCATGACGTACGTAAAAGTTGGTAGTGTTTGGTCTAGGGAATACGAATTTATTATATTAGGTTCATTTATCTTAAAAAGTTTAAATTTATGCATTCTTTATCATTGTTCTTAGAGGCATCATAATGATTGTAGTAGAAATTAGGAATTTTCGTTATAAATAAGTGATACCGATAAATGCTAACATGCTATTCTAGTATTAATATATATCGATATATATATATATATATATTAATATATAATCTATACGTATCTGATATACTGTACAGTATATACATAAAAAATTAATAATTTAATAATGTTCGACAAAGAATATTTCGTAAAAAATGCAATGCAACAATGAAACAAGATATTAACTAATCTTTTTGCGTGAAATGATAGTAAAAACAAGTGATTATATGATTATATTAGAAGTACCAATAGTCACTTTCATGAATTTAATACGCGCGGAAGAACCGTTAATACATGTACAAAAATAATATATATAGCATATATATTTATCATATATTTATCGTTAAATTGAGTAAATCATTAAATCATTATTCATTTACATTACCTGTTACAGAATTATACAGTAAATAAAAGACAAATTGCATGTTTTAGCTTTAATTTTACAATAAATAAATTTTTTCTCTCTCCGACTTTTACTATATTCCTAATTTGATAATACTTCATATTTTGAAGTTAAACTTTATTTCTAATAAATTCGGTATATATTTCAATTTATCAATTAAATATTAAATGCATATGTTCCATTGCTAATCCTATTTTGGATATGCTGTATGCTATTTCGTCAATAAATATTAGTAAACACTTTATTTTACGATAAAGGTAAAAAAAAAATCAAACAATATAAAACAATATGTACATTCATCCTCAATGATGATCATGCATGTATGAAGAAACCCTGCCGTTAAATGTCGTGTAACCCCTTTCAGAATTTACCGCCTTTGTGTTTTTTTGACAATAATTTCATCAAAAGCGACATAATTAGGTCAATTGATGTTCTTTTATGACATAACAACGATTTCGTTCGATTACAACATTTTTTAATCTTTAATTATTAAATTTATGTATTTAATATTTAATAATAATGTTATAATATCAACTATTGTAGTCTTTCATACTCTTTTTTCCTACTTTTCTTACTTTCCCTTACTTTCCTACCTCTTAATTCTTATGCTTTACTTTGATGTCTATTTTTTTCGTGCCGCCTTCAATTCACATATTCTCCGTCTGGATTCTACACAAAATATTGTTGATCATTACCATTATTAGACTTTATCATAATGCCAAATATAGCAATGACATGTGTGCTCGTGCTTGTTTCTATCAGGCTCAGGCATAGATGTGATCCAACTTTGATTTACTTTTAATACTGTAATATACAGTAATAACTTTTTACGGAGTTTTTCTTACTGATAATTTTTTAATATACTTAATATACTGCATATACAAAAAAAAAAAAAAAATTAGTTAAAAAAAATAGTACGTAATTCATGTTGAAGTTGGCGCAATGATTTACGAAACACTAAAGTAAAAATATCTGCTACAGTCTCAGCTATCTCCTTTAAACTTTTTTAAAATGCACCTCCCGATTACAACATCGATTATTTAATCTTAAATAAATAACCAGAAATAGTTTGATGTTTAAAAGGATATACGCGCGTTAACTATAAATCAATCTGGTATCAACATGCTT